TTGAGTCTCTGCAGATAAGAAGAAGGTCGTTCCCCATGGTCCTGAAGCGTGTTTAAAAATTTTGCAAACAGCTCTTCTCCGTCTTCAACAGTAGCATATGCAGAATCAAGTACTTGCAAAAATTCTGCAGGCAGGGCATTGGGCCCCAAACCTCTCACTAGGTCAGCAGCTGGAGGTAGTAAACCTTCCAAAATGCGCCTTGCAACATGTAAAGGTGCAAGACTTGGATCGGCATTTAAAAGTTCTATTTGAGACCTCCAAGATTCATAATCTGCCTCATGCTGAGGTTTCGGAAGCTTTCCTGAGAAGGTACGTAGTCTAAAGGAAGACAGAGGTTGAAGATTTACATCATCTCTGTGCACAATGTGTTCAACTACAACCCTTTGGACCCCAGGAGGGTTTAGATCGTTCCCTGAGAGAGAAATTCTCGGCCCCACGTTTGTAGTTGGATTTGGTTGAGTTTGTGGTCTTTGCTGGTTGGTGGTGGACTGATCTGATTGGTCTGAGGAAAGATTCAACGGCCGAGTCTGACTGGATTCTCTGTCAGTAGCAAATATTTCCACTGTGGTCTCTTCATCATCAGCCTCATCAGGCTCCCCTCCGGTAGCCGCTATTCCTAAATGAGCACTTATTTGTTCAAAAACTCCTCTCAGAACATCCTCAAATGATTGTCCACTCTGCTGGGAAATGCGTTTCAGTTCATAAAGGTAATCAGGGGCTTGGGTTGTATCCACTGTGGTTGTGGCACAGCACTCTCTTGAGAGTAATTTAATAACAAATATAACATCGTCTGCAGCCTCAGATTGGTAAATATATGGTAAAAGCGATTTTAGCTTTTCCAAATCTGCAGGATTAACAAATTCAACGGCCAGGTTTTTATAAAATGGACTCTCACGTGCAGTAACAGTAAAAACCTTAACGTCACCATAGCTGCGTAAATAATTAATGATCTCATCATCTGCTTGAGTGTTTGTTACACCACTAACAATAACAGAATGAGCAACATTAATACCAATTCCTTCAAAGAAATCCATGTTTCAAAACAAAACAAAATACATTCACCAAAACATCCACAGCATCAGGCTCCTGGCTAGCTCGCCAAAGAATGTAACAGTTATGGGCTAGGCAGCTAACTGCGATATCAGAAAAACAGTTCGTTAAGGAGCCTGAGGTGTGAATGAAAACACAAGGAAACTGTTTTAGTTTTTGTGCAAGTGTATTATTGTTTTTCCTTGTAAACAGGGAAACAAATAAGGGGCAGGAAAAAAAAACAACAACAAACAAAACAATTACAAATACACAAAAAAAATCAATTCTAGAGTCCTAGGGGTCTTGTCCTTTTTTAGCTCGCCATCAGTTGTTCAGGATCTGAGGATCTGATCCATCATATATATAAAAAAAAAACCCGACCTTAAAGCAGGGAGTGGGGCGCACCCAACAGCGATCGGCTGTGACAGCCCAGGCACAACAGCAACTGTTCAAGAGAGCAAATCAGTGGTTTCAGAGATTTGGATTATTTCCAGGGTGAAATGTTCAGCAGGATGCCAATAGCCAGCCACAGTCACAGTGGAACAGGTGATGTCGTTTAACCTGGCTGGAGGCGGGGCTTTAAATAAGTTGAGGAGTTTGGGCAAAACAGGAAGTGGGCCCGCAAAAATAAAAGTCTTGATTGACTAATTGCGGGTTACAGTATCTAAAACTAAATTTTAGATAGGCATCATAAAAATTGAGATATACGGAATTCTAATTTAACTAGTAACAAAATAACATCTATAATTACATTTGTACTAGCAGAAATATATTTTAGATGTCAAGAATTGTATTTCTAGATAACCTTAATGTTATATTCATTTTTGATATCCAAAACAGTAGTTATGAGTAGAAATAACTCTATTAGGGAGATCTGATATTAGAGTTAATCTGAGTCAGAATTCATTTTAGATAGGAAGAATGTTTATTTTAGGTATCTGGAAGTAAAAGCCCAAAACACATGAGTGGGAAATTTTACGTCATTTGTGCTAGTAAGAATTACATTTCAGATATCTGAAATGTTTATTCTATATAGGAAGAATGTTATTTTAGATATCTGAAATGTTCGTTTGCATTTGAGATATCTGGATTACGTATTCAGTCACGCTAATAAATGTCAAAACGGTCTGCCATAGCTGTCCAAATATGGGATCAGATAGAAGATGCAGCGAAATAAAAATGAAATCAAGGTGAGACTCTGACAGTGAACTGAGACCCACGTGGAAAGCCTGGCTTTGATCGGAGGCTTCTGCACATGCGTGAGCAGGCTGGGCGGTCCTCCGCTGCTCCCCCATCGGGGCTCCGGGCCCCGTGGGAGGCAGAAGGCATCTAGGAGCGCTCCGGACCGCATGACGGGGACCAGCGGCTCCCGGGAAAAACAGCAATGACCGAAAAGTCCTAAATAAATGGTTCAAAATGAAGTCCAGCCAGCGGTGGCTTCTTTTTCTATTGTTTCTACCTCTATCAGGTGAGATCTGGTTTATTATATCTACCTTTTATGGACAGAGTTAATATTATATTTCCTTTATTATTTAGAAGCTTTCAAAACGACCTTTAATATTATTAGGAAAGTTTTAATAGCCTATATTAATGTTAAAGCCAATTTATAGGAATTTTGTGAATATTTTATTCATATAAAATGTAATATTTATTAAAATTTAAACGGAATTAAATCATTTTGTAGATCTAAAACTGTGAAATAGAAATAATATTTTAATAAAAGCAAATTTTATGTAGTATGTTTTTCTTAATGGTCCTAATTCCTTTTTTTTTTGCTCCCAATGTGTTGCTGATCTTCCCTTTAGGTGTTTTATGCTTTAGTGAGCTGTCCTTCATCACGGAGCCCAGTGATGTTACAGCTCTACCAAATGATCCGGTGACGTTGGACTGTCAGGCTCATGGCCAGCCGCCAGTCACCATCAAATGGCTCAAAAATGGACTTAAGCTGGCAGAGAGCGAACATTTCAAGTTTCTGCCCAACGGCTCCTTGTACATACCAAAGATAAAGCACACCAAGGAGGATTCAGATGAAGGATTTTACCAGTGCCTCTCCCAAAACAAATATGGAGCTATCCTAAGCCAAAGATCACGCCTGACTATCGCACGTAAGTATGGAAAGTAAAATAAAGAAAACCCTTTATAGCCATGAGTTATGGCTGTTTACACTTGTTCTTCCATGTTCCAGCATTAGGGCTGAAGTTTGTGGATTATAACCCTAAAGATGAGAAGCAGATGTAGCCTTTAGCCTTTTCCTTTTTTATGTATCTCAGGCAAACCTGTTAAACTAAAGCCTCCATGTTTTAAGGTCAGTCGTAGTGGCACTGAGGAGATTGTAAAATAAAGGAGAGTCCATCCAAAAGCTCATAAATGCTCTATAAATAGGAGCAGCACAGCTTGTGTTCTTTCACTTTTTTAGCACCAATCCTCCCTTATTTGACTGTAACTTTGAAACTTTACCAAAAAAATTATATTAACTATTCAGTTCAGATGTGAGAGTGTTGCAGACTGTGGATCTACGGCCCAGAGCAGCGAGGAATCTCTGAATGGCCATTTGTCTTTCGGCTTTTATTTGGAGTGCCCCTGACTGGTCCATAAGAAAAGGCTCCATTTCAGGGGGTTTGTTTGTCCACATATCAGTGGACGAGACAGCTGCGCCTATTCAATGAGACTGGCCTACCGTGCACAATCTTCAAGGGGCTGTAAGAAAGGATATCCCATGGCTGGTGTCATGGAGACTAGATCGAACCCCACAGTCAACTATTTTTGACTCTCATGTTTTTTTAGGAAGGTTTCCTACATCAACCCTGTTCTGATCTGATCTGGCAGCGTTCGTTCCTTCTTATTACAATGATGGAAATTTGTCAGAGTGAAAACATATTACAGACACTTTGGTTAAACAGTAACAGGTTATAAATTAAAATCAGGTTTGTTTGGGAAAAGGTTTGTCTTTTCTACAAACATCCTCACTCAGGTATTATGTGGCCTTGCTGGTTTAAACAGTTTTATAGTGAGTAAATAACATCAATTAATATATGAAATAAGAGACACAACTCACAGTTTGTGCATAGCGATGTAAAGAAATAATAAACATTTTATTTTCTATATATTGACCACATAGATAAATTCAAATTCAAGTTTGAGCCGGTCTCCAGCCCCATTCAGTGAAAGGGTTAAAGGTTGCCGGTCAGCTGGAGGGAGGTGTGGAGGAGGGGACTCCTCTGCGCTCCCCTTCTGTCCAGAGGTCCCAGGGGTCAAGGGTCAGCCATTGAAAGGCATTGTGATGTCACAGGCCTGCTGTGACTGGGGAGCCCCTCTGTTGTTCCTCATGCCCTTCAGTCCCTTTCACCGAATCGGGGCCTCTGTGGCCCCGTCAAGGGTGGGGCTTTTGTTAATGGAAGGCCAGTTTTTCATGGGAACGAAGGGGCCACAGTGAGAAGAGCTGGCTGCTAAAAAAACAGGAAGTGAATTTATATTAGATCTGTGTGATAAACCAGGAAGTGCATAGATCTGTGTGATAAACCAGGAAGTGCATAGATATGTGTGATAAACCAGGAAGTGCATAGATCTGTGTGATAAACCAGGAAGTGCATAGATATGTGTGATAAACCAGGAAGTGCATAGATCTGTGTGATAAACCAGGAAGTGCATAGATATGTGTGATAAACCAGGAAGTGCATAGATCTGTGTGATAAACCAGGAAGTGCATAGATATGTGTGATAAACCAGGAAGTGCATAGATCTGTGTGATAAACCAGGAAGTGCATAGATCTGTGTGATAAACCAGGAAGTGCATAGATCTGTGTGATAAACCAGGAAGTGCATAGATCTGTTTGATAAACCAGGAAGTGCATAGATCTGTGTGATAAACCAGGAAGTGCATAGATCTGTGTGATAAACCAGGAAGTGCATAGATCTGTGTGATAAACCAGGAAGTGCATAGATCTGTGTGATAAACCAGGAAGTGCATAGATCTGTGTGATAAACCAGGAAAAGCATAGATCTGTGTGATAAACCAGGAAAAGCATAGATCTGTGTGATAAACCAGGAAGTGCATAGATCTGTGTGATAAACCAGGAAGTGCATAGATCTGTGTGATAAACCAGGAAGTGCATAGATCTGTTTGATAAACCAGGAAGTGCATAGATCTGTGTGATAAACCAGGAAGTGCATAGATCTGTGTGATAAACCAGGAAAAGCATAGATCTGTGTGATAAACCAGGAAAAGCATAGATCTGTGTGATAAACCAGGAAAAGCATAGATCTGTGTGATAAACCAGGAAGTGCATAGATCTGTGTGATAAACCAGGAAGTGCATAGATCTGTGTGATAAACCAGGAAGTGCATAGATCTGTTTGATAAACCAGGAAGTGCATAGATCTGTGTGATAAACCAGGAAGTGCATAGATCTGTGTGATAAACCAGGAAGTGCATAGATCTGTGTGATAAACCAGGAAGTGCATAGATCTGTGTGATAAACCAGGAAGTGCATAGATCTGTGTGATAAACCAGGAAAAGCATAGATCTGTGTGATAAACCAGGAAAAGCATAGATCTGTTTGATAAACCAGGAAGTGCATAGATCTGTGTGATAAACCAGGAAGTGCATAGATCTGTGTGATAAACCAGGAAGTGCATAGATCTGTGTGATAAACCAGGAAGTGCATAGATCTGTGTGATAAACCAGGAAGTGCATAGATCTGTGTGATAAACCAGGAAAAGCATAGATCTGTGTGATAAACCAGGAAAAGCATAGATCTGTGTGATAAACCAGGAAAAGCATAGATCTGTGTGATAAACCAGGAAGTGCATAGATCTGTGTGATATCTTTTAATATTCACAAGAGCGATAGCTAAATTTGTCCAATGCATGATCTACCACCACTTTAACATTAGAAGAAAAGGTTTATTTTTAAAATAAAACAGATAAAATGGAAAACAGCCAAACTAGAACCCTTCTTTAGATTTAACATCAACTGTTTTCCATTTGGTCCTGGTTTGGGGTAAAATTTAGTGGACATGGGGGTCCAGGTGAACTTTGACCTTTCCAGGGAAACCTTTTTACTGCTCAACCTAGACATTGATTCGTTCCCTTCCACAGAAGTGACCAAATTAGCAGTCAGGACACACCCACCGCCTGCATCACTGCTCCCACTTTCTATTACTTACTCTGTGCTTCACAATGTTTACCAATCATTCAAGGTTTGATTAAGAAAAATCTATTTAGTCTTGGTCTCCTGCTTTCCTACCTGATTTCGGAAAAGATGTTGCATATAGATCAAATATCATCTGTGAAAGTTTCTAATCTTGGTTTTGGTCCTGAATAGAGGAGTTACTGTATCAATAGTTTGTTTAAATTAAAACAAAACTCCAGTTTTCATCTCTGAAAGCTTTAAATGTGAAGTTTGAATGGGAAAACAAGAGTATTGATTCCCTATAACATATTATTGACTTTCTCTCTTTGAGTGAAGGGGGCGGGGGGACTTATCACCTTAATGAATGAAGGTCATTGATCATATTGTATTGAGTTGGCTCACTAATATGTAGATTGGGGGTGGTTTGTTTCTGGCGAATGTTGAAGGACGTTTTTGGATGTTTGTTCATTAAAGTAGGACTTTCTAGCTGCCATCTTAGAAGGAAATGTATTAAATACTAAAGTTTGAATTATGTTTTACTGCGACAGGGATGGATAACAAAATAAATTCAACAAATATCTTCTTTCCAGTAGATAATTTGAATTTAATCAAATGCAGAAATCAGAGGAATGAGCTTCTTTCTACATATATTTTTTATTTAAGAAAAAAAGGAATTGCAGAACTCTAAAACTGATGGTACGTTTGATTCAGGTTTATACTTGTTCTGTTTGAGCTGTTTTCCCAACAATATATCCAAAAGATCATCAAGGTTCAGGTTTCAAAATTTCATTGAATGCAATTAATATCTAATATTAAGTAACACTGAGAGTAAAGGTTGCAGTTCCTTTCCTTAAAAGTTTGTTAACATTTTGTATAATTTTTTTTAAATTAAACATTAAAAAGCAGATATATTGATAATGTTTTAAGTCAGAGTGTTTAAGTTTTTGCTAATTTGTTCAAATTCAGGGAAGCCTGGGTCTCAGACTGTTTAGAGGGGTCAAAGGTATTCATGTTTAACTCCAGTAGAAGTTTAAATCCTACTTTTTAAAACACTTTTGCAGAAGTTAGAGAATAAACTTAAGCTTTTTACTTCAGTAAAAGGTTAAAAGTACCATTTTTAAAACTTAAAGTATAAAAGTAATGAGGGAAAAACTGTTAAGGCCAGAATCTTTACCGATCTACCCTTTTAAAGGAACATTTTCTACAATTCTGGATGATAACTTCCTTAGACTTTATTTTCTTAGTTTTATAACTAATGGTAACAGGGTCACATTTAACACCAATCAAATCACAAATAAATTATGGAAGCTCATTGGTAGAATTCCCCTATGACAGAAAGAAGGCCACGATTCACACCATTTTATCATCCGGAGGGGGGGACACATTTAATTACAAAACCGAATTCACACAGCTGTCTTAAACACTTCATACATCCAGCAACGCATCGTCAAAATCCTGTTATCCCCCAACCTTCAGTCGATCTCAGGCTGCATTTATAGTTTCCACATCGCATTACGTAACTGCACATGCACAGGAATATCATGTCGAAAGCTTCCTGGAAATCACGTGGGCTGGTCTGCATCAAAATCACTCCGACCATCAAAGAATGTTTATACAGATGTTCTCTGTTTTGCCAAACCTCCTCATACATCTAATTGCGTACAAAAAAGTAATTAAAGACTTTATTATTACTAAGACTCATACTTGAACTTCAACATGTACTGTTTTGTTGCTAAGTAAGTATAGAGCCATGTGTAAGGATATATTCTGATTCTGATTTCTGATTCTGATATAAGACAATAAAACTGCTTCTACAAAATTAATTGTCTCGATTAAACAAATAATTTTGATGGGTTTTATTTATTTTTTTTATACCAACAGGCCATAATGAAAAACACCTTAAATGAAACAAAAGTAACGAGTCTTTTTTTCAAAATGTAAGGAGTACAAAGTAGAAATAATTGCTAAAAAAGTTAAGAAGTAGAAGTAATAAGTTGCATAAAAACAATTACTCCAGTAAAATATAGATAGCCAACATTTCTACCTGAATAAGGTAATAAAGTATTTGTACTTTGTTCCTTGGCACCTCTGTAGGAAATATGAATGTTACGCTGGATAAAAGAAAAACAGAGGGCCGAACTAAAATAGTTTGTCATGAGTGATGCAAAAATAAATTCCTGTCAAAGAAAACTGTCTAAAGACACAGAAGAGGTAAAGTTGATTTCCATCGATCTACCCTGAAAATATGCTCGAAAGATGAACGAAGAAAAACATTTCCTCTCTGTAGTTGCTTGCAAAGCTTTTCAAACAAAGTGAATTAATTAGTTTTCATCTATAATGATGCATCATTCACTGTCATTCTACAATTGATCTATTGATTGGCCATCGAGTCACAATGGGAGGGGGGGAGACTGCTCCCCATCTCCACTAAAGCAGGTGGTGTCCTGAAGAGATCGATTTCCTTCCTATGATCAGTCCACATTAAAGCCGTTAGTTGCATAAACTGGTTATTACAAAGTTGCATAAATTATATCGTATATTTGTTTTTTTGTTTTTTTTTACAGGAATCACAGAGTTTGAGTCTCATCCCGTTTCCATGGTGGTGTCTGAAGGTTCTGTGGCGCGGTTCTCCTGTGCCGTCACTTCAAGCCCTCCGGCCACCATCACCTGGGAGTTTAACCAAAGCACGCTGCCTCTACAGACAGACAGGTTCATGATCACCATTTACATTCCCCTACCTGGAAAAGCTGCCCTTTGGTTCGTCCCCAAATTCCCTTTTTCATCTCCTCAGGATAACGGTTTTGCCGAATGGAGTTCTTCAGATCCACAACATCCAGCTGGAGGACGCCGGAAAGTATCGATGTGTCGCTACCAACATCGGCAGCCTTTTAAAGAGTCGAGAGGCCACACTGACTGTTCACAAAGGTACAGCGAACTGGAAGGATGCACATTTTGTTCCAAAAAAGAAGAAATTTAAAAACAATCAACTGGAATTTGTTTTTCAAGTTTGAAGACGTTTCTCTTCCATCCAGGAAGCTTTTTTAATTCAAAATGTCAGAAATAGCGTTTAGTTCCAGGTTTTATCCAGCAGCCCAACAAAGCCTGGTTTTAGTTTAGAAAACATGCAAATAGAAACTGACGAATGGGTCCACTCTTTTGGAATGGGGGTCGTTTAGCTTCTTTGTTAGCCTGCAGTGCTCCATACCTGTCTATGTCTCTGAAAGGGGGGTCATTAAAGGGAATAGTTGGCCTGGCTGAATAGGTGAGGTCTTCTGTTCTCCTGTAAAGGGGTTGGGGCTGCGATGATAGCAGGAAGGAATCAGCTCTATCGCTGCATTATAGGTTTTTGAAAAGCCCATCAAACTCTCAAGCCCTCAAACTCAACGCTATTCCTGACATTTTCACTTAAAAAGCGAAATGTCTTCAAACTTGAAAACAAAGTCCAGTGGATTGTTTTTACATTTCTTTTATTGGAAGGACTAAGACCTGGATGAATGAGCATCTTCACCGGTATAAGGCACATTTTGATGTCTCAGAACAAATAACTTAACATTGGCGTTTCTACTTTTTCATAAAGATGAGGGCCCTAAACCCCGGCAGAGGCCCCGGATCATCGCCGGACCTCAGAACGTAACGGTTTCCCTTCATCAAACTGTAGTTCTGGAGTGTGTGGCCACAGGCTACCCCCCGCCCATCATCTCCTGGAGCCGAGCCGACAGCAAACCCATCGATGTTTACAATGCCAAAGTGCTGGGCAATGGGAATTTGGTTATTACCGATGTAAACTCCAAGCACAGCGGCATTTACCTCTGCAGGGCGACCACGCCTGGAACACGCAACCACACAACAGCAGCAGCCAACCTCACGGTCTTAGGTAGGACTGTCCCTTCCGTTGTATCGGCACATTGCAATTCCATCCACTGTCCGTGTCTCTTTGTAGTTTTACTTATGTCTTGATACAGTGGATGCAGGGGCGGAGCTAGATGGGGGGCACCATTTTTTTCCCCTCAAATACCAACATATTCTCATTATCAGTTCCCATGAAATCGCACGAAAAGTTATGCACAGTATTCCGTGGGTTTTTGACGTTTTTCCTAGAAAAAACAGATCAGTGGACGGACGTAAAACTGGGACGGACGAGCTTTCGACAGTGCAATAATTACTTCATGATGTCTCTCACTAGGTCGCTTGCTGTTTTGTATGTTAGGGTTAGGGTTAATTGTATGTTAAATTGTATGTTATTGAATGGTGCGTAGCATGCGCATGCGCAAGGATATCTTGTCTCGAGGCAAGACGTAAAAATACAACGAAATACGACGAAAAAAACGTCAAAAACCCACAAAATACGGTGCATAACTTTTCGTACGATTTCATACGAACTGATAATGAGAATACACTGCAAATACAGACGGTGGCAACAGTAAAACTTCTAACTTATTTAACATTTTAATTTTTCATATGTTAACAGTTACTTGACAACAAAAACACTTTGGTTAAATATGAACATCAATATGCGAAGATTAAAGATGATAAATACAGAATTTATGCTATTTTCAGAAATAGATTTTGTCTTATGGGGTTAAGAGAAAATTATGTTTCTGTAAAATCTATGAGTCTTCAGTGAAATCAGAAATAAATTACTGCTTCAATAACTAATCCATTTAATTTAGATATTAGTAAATATTCATTTAATGCAGAACGATTATTGATAAAAGTAGATAAGTAATGACAATGAATAAGATGCCCACCTTAGAACTCAAACCTGAATGAATTTTGTTCATTAAACCTTTAATTTAGACATAATAGATGTTTAAATAAATGTGTCTATTTGTTAGCAAAGGCTGTAGGAAAGTATAGTTAGTCTTCACTTTCCGTTTGGAACAGTTTTGATTGACCCTGGCACCTATCCACTTTAGGCCCCCCCTTAATGTACATTGGTTATTGCCTGGCCGCCCCGATTAAAATGTTCTGGTTACGCCTCTGAATGGATGGTCAGTTTTCCGGCTGAAATGGTGCTAGTTAGACCTTTTTTTTCTGGTGTGTTTCTGTCTCAGTGCCACCAACCATCGTAGAGAGGCCTGAGAGCCAGACGCGTCCGCGAGCAGGCACCGCCCGCTTTATGTGCCAGGCGGAGGGGGTGCCACCGCCGCGTATTCGCTGGCTAAAGAACGGTGAAGACGTTCACCTGAATGGGAGAATAAAGATGTACAACGGGTAACGTCATTTCTATAATCCAGTTAAATGTGACGAATGCATTCGTTTTGCTGATGTTTCTTGTGTCCTTGTTTCACAGTAAACTGGTGATCACCCAGATCATCCCAGAAGATGATGCCATCTATCAGTGCATGGCGGAGAATGAACAGGGTTCCGCGCTGTCCTTGGCCCGCCTTATCGTCGTCATGTCTGAGGACAGGCCCAGTGCGCCGAGGAACATCCACGCAGAAACCATCTCCAGCTCTGCCATTTTACTGGCCTGGGAAAGACCGCTGTACAACGCAGACAAAGTGATAGCCTACTCCATCCATTACATGAAGGCTGAAGGTGAGACTGAGATGAAGTTGGTCCTTGAAAGAGAGCAGTTAAAGATGCACAATCAGGGTTAGCTGTGTTGGGTTCGACCACACTTATGTGAGATTAGCTGCTGTGGTGGAGGACCGCAGAGCAAAGGTCAAGGATGACTCAGAAAGGCAGGTTCAGTTGAGCAACAACAGACTAATCCAACCCATTGTTCATTCCCCAGCTTGTTTTGAACCTCTTAAAGGGACAGTGACACACATTAACATCTCAGAGTTTTGCTATCCACTAATCCTGGAGAGAAACATCAGCTGTGCTGCTGCCATCAACACCTTTGTTTCTAGATGCTGGAGATCGGCCTATTTTTCAGTGTAGTCCTGTTTCTCTGACTGTGACTAACTGGATGTTTATTTGTTTATTTATTTGGATCCCCATTAGCTGTCAGTAATTTGACAGCTACTCTTCCTGGGATCCCTTTAAAATTATACAGATACACAAAACATATCAAATGATCACATCATAAGAACCACGATACATTTCAAATTATATCACATTACAGCACAATATGTTACACAAATATTCATATATTAAGGCTATCAACAAAGTGTTTTTTTAAAAGTGTTTTAAATGCACCTTTGGTAGTAGCAGTCGAGATGTTATGAGGCAGTTTGTTCCACAGAGTCACAGCTCTGAACAGTTGAGAGGATGTGCTCTCTTCATCCTCTGACATGGGAGCTGGCTCGGAGCTCGTCTGCCTGGCTGTGTGTTTCCTGGACGGGGCCGCCTGTGGAGCTGGTTGACAGTTGCCTTTTGTATCTATGCTTCTTTTTCTATGTCTGCTTCTGTCTCCTTGAACCCCAGTGGGCCTCAGCAGATGGCCGCTCACACTGAGCCTGGTTCTGCTGGAGGTTTCTTCCTGTTCAAAGGGAGTTTTTCCTCTCCACTGTCGCTACAAGCATGCTTAGTGTGAGGGATTGCTGAAGAGTCAAAGAGTCGATGCAATCAGCTGGTTTTCCTTAGATAGAAAACTTTGAATCAATCTGACTGGATGATCTGGTGAACTGGAAAGTGACCTGAGATGACATGATGTGAATTGGAGCTATAGAAATAAACTGGATTGAATTAATGTAGGAAGGCAGCTCTATTATTATTTCACCAGCAACTCTAAAAATGCAAATCATGCACATTTGTTGACAGCTTTTCCCGATATCCTCAGTGGAAAAACTCAAAGTTCAACCTATTCACTCACCTACTGCTCAATTTCTTTTATTTCAGGTCTGAACAATGAAGAATATCAGGTTGTCATTGGCAACGACACGACCAGTTACATTATCGATGACCTTGAACCAGCTCGGAACTACAGCTTTTATATTGTGGCTTACATGCCGATGGGTGCCAGCCGTATGTCCGACCAAGTCAGCCAGCACACGTTAGAAGACGGTAAGAACGTTCTCCAATTATTTTCTGTGATGATTGAAGCCGATGTTCTATAAAGGGACGTTCATCGTTTCTGCAGTGCCTCTGCGTACCCCGGAGCTCACTCTGACCAGCCACAGTGCAACAGACATCCAGGTGACGTGGCAGCCTCTTCCTGCTAAGATCAGCCGTGGGCGAGTGTTGGCCTACAGACTGTCCTATCGCACGGCTGTTGATGACGCTGTCGTAAACGTGGAGCTACCGCAAAACTGCACCCAATATCTTTTGGAGGGCCTGCAGCCTGACACCATTTACCTGCTCCGTATAGCCGCAGCCACCCGTGTGGGTTGGTGCGAGCCGTCGGCGTGGACGTCACACCGTACATCGAAGATGACCAGCGACAAAGGTAAACCTGACAAAACATGGAACCAGTGGAGGGCGGTGCATCTGGTACCTCGGCCTTTAGTGGGCCCTACTCAACTTCTACTTCTCAATATCACCACATTTTAATGAAGGAAATCACCAATATCATTCAAATCTGAAATGTAATTAGCGCAGGTCTAACCTACATGGATATACATCTGTAAAGAAAAGGGGGGATTTACCATTAGGCAATACTAGGCAGTTCCTGGGGGCCCCATAAAACTCTGTTTACATGTATGGTTAATACAACTATTCCTTATTTTTGTACATTAATTATGTTTTTGATAAAAATCCTTTCACTAAAATGCCATCAGAACGCTGATAATATAAAGTGTGTCTCAGCCCCCCCCCTTCAGTGTCCACCATATTGGATCAGTCCATTTGCTGCACATGTTCAGAAAGGTCCAAACAGACAGCAGCAAACCATTTGAAAACAAACCATGCAAAGAGCAGTGTTGCCAACTTAGCGCTTTAGTCGCTATATTTAGCCACTTTTCAGACCCCTCTAGCACTTTGATTTCTAAAAAGCTCCTAGCGCCAAATCTAGAGACTTTTTTCTGCTACTGGAGACTTTGGAGACAACATCTAAAAGCAGCGAACTCTGCTCTCCAGAGCGAGTAGATTGCTAACCCCGCCTCCTGCTCTCCTCTATCTTGTCTGCTGTCATGATTCATGCAGCTATTATTTCATCCAAATGAAAAATGGAGAACAGAGAAGCAGATCATGGCTTGTCTACAGTGAAAAGAAGGACTGGGTTATTTACTTTGGCCTTTTTGGAAACACAGGAAGGAGCAATCAGCTAAGTGAGCTTAGTGCTTGGAAAAAATCTTTCATTCCTTTAGAGACAGCATGAAAAGTCAGCTGAGTACAAAACATAGAGAGGAAAACAAGAAGAAAAGGGACAAGAAGAGAGGGACACAACCTAGAACAGATAATGGATGTCTATTCTATTAACATTTCTCTATCTGGAGAATGGGGCTGTTTGATGTGTTGTCTTCTCCATTCAGAGGCCCCCCTGCCTGTCTTTGCCTAGGGCCCCACATTTCCTAAATCCACCCTGCACAGCTCTTCAATATTTACATCATTGGAGTCGTTCAAATTCAATATGCATCTAATAACCAGATAAAATAGAGCATAAAGCATGAAAACAATATATATCACACTCATTAGAGATGCTTATTATTTATAAACTAAATCCATCCTTCTATCTTTGTGCAGAAAGTCTTAGTATCTCCATTTAGTTTCGGCCATTGAGGCCAGGGAAACTTTGAACAAAAGCAAATGTAAAATGCATAATGTTGCTAACTTAATTTGGCCGTAACTTTTGCTCTAACTGACCAATCAGAGGAAAGAACATTCCTCCAGCTGGCCCCGTGGGGCAGATCTGAAACCTGATTGGTTAAAGAAAATGTTCTTCACTAATATTGTTAAGGAAACATCAGCAGCACTGCTGGTTCTGAAGGCCCTGGGCAGATTTGATTCACATAGCAACACACTGAGGCTGAAATCTGATTGGACAAATAATATAGCAAGCAGATAAATGAAATGCACTGGAAAAAATCAAAATCTAGATAAGTTATTTTTTTCTCAAAATAAGTGCATTTGTTCTCAAATTGAGAAGGTAAAACAGACATTTTGCCAATTGAACAAGACAATTTATATTTAAATAAGGAAACACAATTGCATTTTTCTTATTTCAAGTGCATTTTATCTAAATATCTTATTTTAAGAGTAAAAATACTCATTCCATTGGCAAATCATCTCATTAACCTGCTCAAATTAAGTGTAAATGCACTCAATTTGAGAAATATTTCCTTATTTCTAGATCGTTTTTCCAGTGTGGAGGCAGCGCAGAAAACAGAAACGCTACAACTGAAGAGAACTGATTGTTTGGAATAAATTAATACAATTAGATAGAAGAAATTTAAAGTGTATGTTGTGATTGCAGGTTAGTGTTTCTGATTTTAGGCCAGCAGTGAAGGCTTTGATGGCCCTGACCGCCCACCACTGCCCTATACATGACAAAATACTTTAATTCAGACTTTTTTACGTGAAGCTTGTTTTATATTTGCTTTTTTAACGTTTATGCCTCCCTGGTGTTGGAATAACTGGTGACTCAGCAGATCTCCTGCCTGGTATTTGGTGTGATAGAGTTTGCTCTTGTAGCATTGTCCTAACCAAGGAAAAATCAACATCTAGATAAGTAATTTTTTCTTAAAATAATTTCATTTGTTCTTGGAGTAACGAGGTAAAAGCGACATTTTGCCAATGGACCAAGAAAATTTACATTTAAAATAAGGAAACACAATTCCATTGTCTTATTTCAAGTGCATTTTATCTAAATATCTTATTTTAAGAGTAAAAATACTTGTTCCATTGGCAAATTGTCTCATTTACCTACTCAAATTAAGGGTAAATACACTTAATTTGAAAAAATTTATATATTTTTAGATTGTTTTTCCAGTGTATGTTGGTTCCAGACCAACCTTTGCCCCACGGTCAGGGATGTTAGAGTGGCCTCTGTCACGGATCATAATAAAAGGGCCTTCGGCCCCTAAGGCTGGGAAGGATTACTCATTTTAATAGCCTGCCGAGGTGGGGGGGTTTCATCCTCCATTTCCCAAAAAACTTTAGTGTTAAATCTAGTTTCTCTTTATATTCAGGTAGAGTGCACTTTCACAGAAATAATATTAAATACCACAATTAAAAAACCAAAGATTATTTACATTGATTGTAACACAGCTGTAGTTTTTGTTCATTTTAATCCTAATGTCATGTTTTCTGTCTCCTCTTAGTGCCTCCAGCTCCTGTTTTACAGCTTGAAGCCCTTAACTGCACCTCTCTGAGGGCCCGCTGGCAGACCCCCCCAGACTCTGTGGCTGTGCTGGGTTTCCGGCTGTGCTACCATGAGGAAGGCCAGCCAGAGCAGCCAAGCATCCTGCTGCAGGCCCACACCTACGCCTATACCATCGGAGGCCTTGGTATGTAGTGAGATGGGTTGGATTTCACAGCTTTTTGCAGATCTTTGTCGTTATGACGGAGGGTGACTGATGTTCCCTCTCAGATTAGTCTTTTTTTTTTTTTTTGCATGACCTAATTTGATTCCCTGGGCAGTCAGATGCTGCATTTGCATTTCCAGCCTCTGTCCTAATCAATATGGACTGACCGCTCCTGTCTAACCCGTAGCCTTTCTCCAGCCTTGCCTTAGTGTTGTGTAAAATCAGGCTGTGGGGGTTAGAGGTCAGTAACCAGATGTCCCCCCCCCACCACTGACTCCCATCCAAAGTCCTGCTTAATTATGCAAAGCCATTGTGTTCTGTCCTGGACCAGATCGTCTCTGTGAGGACCTGGGCCGCCTCCTTTCAGCTGGACTTTAGTGAACACAGACAAAGAGCTCTGGGAGGGGGCCAGGCTGGACCCATCATCTGACCTTTAGCCATGAGACAGCAGCCTTGGATTTAAACTTCCTGCCCCCACTGGTCATCTGTGCTGTTCATGCAAATAACCAGCAGTTTTAACTAGAAACATACTGAAAACAAAACTAATAGTTTTCCCTAAATCAGAGTTTAGGTTTTCTCCATTCGTACCAAATCAGTTTTGTGTTTCCTTACAAATTCAAACAGGAGAAAGTTCCAGTAGATTTTTCTGCAAGTAATCATCCTCCTTTCTCTTGTTTTTATTTATGTTTTTTAATAAATATTTTTATAAAGTTCTTCTGTTCTGTTGCGCTGAGTTTAAGGCTACGATACGAGTCCAGCGGGGGGGGGGGGGGGGGGGGGGAGCGATTGAGAAAGAGGGGAAACAAAAAGGGGGCCCATCTCCGCTCCCACCACCCCGCACCCTGATTCCTTCTGTTCTGTGTTGGCCTGGCTGGGTGACCCCAGTGACCCCCCCCCCCCCATTCCTTAGAGTCCCATGGGATTTGGATCCCAGCAGCTGAACATCGCCCGTGGCCCCCCCCCTGGACACACTGCTGTCATTGGTCAATACCTTAAGGCTGACCTTTCACACTGGAGGCATAAAACAAACCTAACATTCTTTAAAGCATCCAGATTGGAGGCGGGGGGGTGGGGGGGGACATTTTTTATTGTGCTTATCATTGGTAACCATGCCTCCTCTACCTCTCTGTATCTCATATAGTTTATATTTGTAGGTATTGATCTAACGATTACTTTGCCAATCGATTAATCTGTTGATTTTTTTTTTTCAATTAATAGATTAATAATCGGACGGCCATTTTTTACTGAATGAAACCGAAACGTTTCCACCTGAGGAGTTCTGCATAGAGCATATTAACAGATGAAGAAGTTTTTATCTTAAATGCAAAATATTTATATACATTTTTTTTTACAGTTTTGGTATAATTACTGCTCTAAGGTAGTCACTCTTTCAGCTAAAGGCATGTTTTACAGTCTCCATATTCCAGTTAATGATTAATCAGTGATTAAATTAGTAGAGAATTATTTAGATAATCGATTAATCGGATTAATTGTTTCAGCTCTAACTGATCTTGTTGTTGTTCCTCTTTAAGTTTCTGAATCTGGAGGTAAAGAAAAGCTGAAATTCCAGGCCTGTGATTGTCCGTGGTGGAGCTTCCAGCTCCCTGATCTTTCTCCTCCTCTTTCCAAAGAAATGCACATGACAAATCAGAGGAGACGAACAAAGGAGACCATGCATTGTCCAAACATGGCCCCTTAATGACCTGCTAAATCACGTTGCCTCTCACTCCTCCAGCCTCGTCTTTTATAAATCGCCCTTCTCTGTTTTCTAATAATGGCTCTCCTAACCTTCGTCTATGTTGGGTTTTCACAATTTTGCACCATTTGCGTTTCATTTGCAATGCTGGGTCTTTACACTGAGAGAAATTGCTTTCTTTATTGAAGTTGTTGTCGATTATATTCTAGATCCAAGGAGAAAATACCATGTGAAGATTCTGGCGATCAGCAAAGTTGGCGATGGTTATCAGACAGACCAAACCCTCAGCACTCCAGGATGTGTGTGTGAGTATATATATAATCAGGTGACACCTGTCTGTTCATCTGCTGGTTTTTTTAAATGCACTTTCTGCTTGAATCATTTAGCGGCCAGAGACCAGCTGGCGGTGGCTCCTCCCCCTCCGCATCAGGTCACCGTCTTAATCAGCAATTCCTCTGCCGTGTCCCTTCGTTGGAGCCGCCCTGCTTTTTCCTCTGGAAAGCCAGTGAGCTACACGGTCCGCTGTACACCTGTGGGCACGCACAACGTCTCGGCTATACGCTACATACAAACGTAAGCCCTCCAGGAAGCCGGTGCTTCTTCTTCTTCTTCTTGAAATGTTCTCCATCATTTGCTAAAGACGGTTGCCTGATGTTTTCTTCACAGCACCAAGCAGAGTGTTATGGTTCGAGATCTGCTTCCAAACACTCAGTATGAGTTTGTTGTTCGTCTCCATGTGGACGAGATGTCCAGCTCATGGAGTTCTGTGGTTTATCATCAGACTGCACCAGCAGGTAGTCCATTAGACCTGCGTAGCATCATTTCATCATGATGATGTGGCTTTAATAGGTTTAATTAATATTCCCATCAATGCTCTGTATGCAGCGCCTAGCCGCCCACCAGCAGGAGTTCGAGTGACTCTGATTGAGGATGACACAGCTCTGGTGTCCTGGAGGGAGCCCAGCGGGCCTCATTTGGTGGTTACACACTACACCATACTGTACGCCTCACAGCAAGCCTGGATGGCCGGACACTGGCAGCGGATCCAGAGAGAAGGTCAGATCGGTTTTTATACGGTTAAATGTTAACTCTGGACAAAACAAGTCATTTCTGGTGTTTATTTGGCACTTTTCTAATAAAAATAAAACGATTCTGCAAATAAATCTTAAAAAAAAAAAATAATTACCCTCTGCAGTTATTAATTTCCATCCATTAATTTTCCGTCACGCTTTATCCCTGCTGGGGTTGGCGAGGGGTGCTGGTGCCTAACTCCAGCTGTCTATGGGTGAGAGGAGGGGTCCATCCTGGACAGGTCGCCAGTCCATCGCAGTAAATGCAGAGACAAACAACCATTCACTCACACTCACACCTAAGGAGAATTTAGAGAAACAAATTAACCTAACAGTCATGTTTTTGGACAGAGTACCCGGAGAGAACCTACGCATAATCAGGGAGAACATGCACACTCCATGCAGAAAGACCCCGGGCCGGGAACCTTCTTTCTGAACCTCTACAGTCATTAATTTTATATTTGGTGTCATAATGATCAGTTTCCATAACAATCCCTCCAATTAAACCACCGGCAAATTTTTTTTGTTTTAAATATTTCTAAACTTTTTTTTTTTGTTTAGTCAAAGTTCTTTAAACTCCTTTGCAATAATCCCTGACTCTCTGTAACCATTTTGATAAAGCTTCTAGTTAGAGTGGCTCAGGTTATCCTGAGCTATCTCTATAGTTCTGCTGCTATAGGCTTAGACTGCTGGAGGACATAGGGACCCCTTTTTCATCATTCTGCTTCATTCTATCTCTATTCTCCACACCTTTGTTTCTAGATGTTCGAGATTGGCCTGTTATTTAGTGTAGTCCTGTATCTCTGAATGTGACTAAGTGGATGTGCTCGGAGGCAGCTCCCATGGCTGTGGACCTTTCTGGCTGTGTGTTTCCTGGATGGGACCGCCTTTTATATCTATGCTTCTTTTTCTATGTCTGCTTCTGTCTCCTTGAACCCCAGTGGGCCTCAGCAGATGGCCGCTCACACTGAGCCTGGTTCTGCTGGAGGTTTCTTCCTGTTTAAAGGGAGTTTTTCCTCTCCACTGTCGCTACAAGCATGCTTAGTGTGAGGGATTGCTGAAGAGTCAATGAGTCGATGCAATCAGCTGGTTTTTCTTAGATAGAAAACTTTGAATCAATCTGACTGGATGATCTGGTTGAACTGGAAAGTGACCCGAGATGATGTGTTGTGTGAATTGGCCAGAAATGGCAAAAGTACTCACTTTCCGTACTTGAGTAAAAGTACAGATACTTGTGTTAAAAAATACTCTGGTAAAAGTGGAAGTAGTGATTAAACTTCTTTACTCAAGTAAAAGTAACAAAGTACAGGCTTGTAAATTTACTTAAAGTATAAAAGTAAAAGTAGAAACCACTTTTTTCATGCCGTTGCCTACATTTTAAATGGATGTCTGCCAATAGGACTAGATCTCCGTTGTGTTCATTTTCAATCATCTCGTCGTCCATGCTACTATGCTAACGCCACCGCCACCAAGCTGCAATGATTTGCCGCCAATGAAAACCGCCGAATCTGTCGATTCATCTTGTAGCGATGCATCAAATGCAACGTAGATTCCCATCCAATTAGATTGAATTTGGTATTGATGACGTGAAAAATAATAAAGGTAACTCCATTGAAATGATTCAAAACTAAAGTAACGAGCCAATTTTTTAAAATGTAAGGAGTAGAAAGTACAGATATTTGTGTAAAAATGTAATGAGTAGAAGTAAAAAGTCGCAATAAAAATAAGTAGTAAAGTAAAAATATCAGAAAAATCTACTTGAGTACAGTTCCATCTCTGGAATTGGCGCTATAGAAATAAAGTGAACTGAATTTATAAATGATGACACCAATGTCCAGTTGAGCAGGAATATGAGCGTTTATAACTTTCTACATCCTGACTGGTTGTAAGGGAGGAATCTCACTGCATGCTGTACATGTAAACAAAACACTTCTGGTTATTAGCTCATTGCTCACATTTCTGAACTTCCCGTCTGTCTTTGTTGATAACAGGCACTCATACAATGGCCTTATTGGAGAAGCTGGAGCCAGGGAAGGTCTACCTGCTGAAGATCTGTGCCTCCAACAAAGTAGGCGATGGACCTTTCTCTAACACCGTGGAGCTGGCGCCGAGGCGTGGACATGCCCATCGCAGCAAGAATCCCAGGCACTCCGACAGCTTTCCAGACTCCAAAGGTCGGCTTTTAGAAGAATACACTTAGTGGAAACGCTGTTTTGCTCCTTCTTCAGTGTTATTCCCCCTGATGCTCCACCTGACGCCTCTGTTTTACCTTCCAGTGTTCTCTGATGGCCTCTACCACCTCGATCAGAGCTCTATGACGGGGATAATGGTCGGCGTGAGCATTGCCTTAACCTGCATCGCCATGTGTGCCTTAATCCTCATCAGTAAAGGCAGACCAAGGTAGTAGATCAGTTGATTTGACCTTTTTAAAAATGATCCCATGTTTATGCAGAAACAAACTTCATCTCTGACTTTTTATTTTTAGAAAATCTGCTAGTCCCAAAATGGTTGCTGTCCGTGGTTCTGGAGGGCCTCATCCGGGCATGCCGCTGCCCGGCAGTTACCATCTGGAGAACGTTGAGGCCCTTTTACCGATGATCAGTAGTCGCTTTATTGATCCAAAGGTAAAGGAAACTAAAGTCATTAAACATCTGAACACTTCTCACTTTAGATCAAGCTTAAAAACAATCTACACTTGTATTTTTTTAGGGTGGATCTGATCTCATCATGAATAGTTCAGGTAGCAGCAAGGTTCAAAGCAACAAGTGGCTGATTTTCCAGAAAGAGATGAACGATTCAGCCGCCAGTGAGGTAAGACCAGTAGCATTCTTTCCTTTCAGCGGGTTTCCTTCCATCAAATCTCACTTTTCCTTCTCTTTCATCAGGCTGAGACAAGAGTCTGTTTGTATGAGAAAGGCAGAACTGTGTTGAGGTATGATGAGCGCCTAGGCTCAGCCCCACTGGCCCCGTCGTCTCGCGAGATCATCTACGGTCCGCTTCACTCAGAGAGCTCCCAGAGCAGTGAAGGCAGCCAGGAAACCGGAGACTCTGGTCACTTCTCCAACGAGGAGAGCAATGAAGAATTCAGCAACTCCTCTACCTGCCAAACTTCAGGAAGTTTGGAGTCCGATGATGGTCCAAATCTTAAGCAGTCTGTTAAATTGGAACCAGCAGCAGCGTCCTTCCATGCTACCAAAGGCTCCTGGCTTAGCAGCACCTCCTGACCCCTTCACACCTGCTTCTACACCCCACCGCTTCTCCCTTCTTCCAAAAAAGTTAATCAATCCACTGGACCTTGTTTCTAAATTTGAAGTTGTTTCGCTTCCCATCCAGGAAGATTTTTCTATTCAAAATCTCAGAAATAGGCTTTATATCAGAGGTCTTCAACAGGGGGTCTGCGTCCCCTAGGGGGTCCATGAAAGTTTGTTTTTTTTATATTCCCTCCTGCAGTTTTTTCCACTAATTAAAATGTCTTTAAATCCACATTAACATGAATCCAACAGACTGTAGTAAACAGATAAATGGAGGCAGAAGATCTCTTTCAGTCATCAATGCTCACATTCAGAGACACACAGGAGCTCTTTCAAGCTGGGCACCGTTTCATTCACAACACCTGTCCCATCAACCAGGAAGCAGAAATACTTTAATAATCCCAGGGAGGGATTACTTTAGTTACATTACTCCATCTGACTATAGAACCAGTTTGATATAACACCATTTCGTACAATATATATAATTAGGGGGTCCCCGCTCCATTTAGCCATCAGTTTGGGGTCCTTGGTGGAAAACGTTGAAGACCCCTGATTTATCCAGCAGCCCATCAAATCCTTGTTTTTGTTTAGAAATTATGCAAATTGAAACAAATAACGGGTCCATCCTTAGGAATGGGGGCCGTTTGGCTTCTTTGTTAGCCTGCGATGCCCCATACCTGTCTATGTCTCTGAAAGGGGGGTCTATAGAGGGAATTGTTAGCCTGGCTGACCTGTAAAGTAGTTGGGGTTGCGATGATAGCAGGAAGGAATCCCTTCAGAACCTTTCAGAGACACAGACGTCCGTTTCTATTTGCATGTTTTCTAAACTAAAACAAAGCCTTGTTGGGCTGCTGGATAAAACCTGGAACTAAACGCTATTCCTGATATTTTGAACTGAAAAATCTTCCTGGATGGAAGAGAAACGTCTTCAAACTTAAAAACAAAAGTCCAGTGGATTGATTTTTTTCTTCCCCATCGTACCACTTCTACCTCATTCGCTTCCTGAGAAGAGACCCTTTGGTATTTTGGGACAGAGAGGGGGAATCAGGAACCAGCTGCTGAAAAGGAAGAGATGTGCATTCCTTTTGGACGTACCTCAGGATTTTGTACGAATGATTTTAAAAAGAAAAACATTTCTTTCGCTTTTTTTTTTTTTTTTTTACGCGACTGTCTACCTGTTTGTGTGTTTGGTATCGTCTGTCCAAACCAAAGCTCACCCATGATGAATGTTTGAAGAGAATGTCGGATTTATACGTTTTTATTCGATTATAAAGAGACGCACCGATCAGACTTTTGGTTTTTAAAGCTTTGACCTAAGGTGCGGTGCATTTACTGACTGGAAGAAAAGGTGTGATTTTTTATTTTTCAACCAGCCAGTCGTTGGTGGAGGCCCTTCGACGTGAAAATCGCCCGATACTGGTGACCAAACGATCTCTTGGAGCCTTTTTTTAAAAATGATCTACCTCAGTGTACTTTTATATACATTACTACCTCCTTATTCTGCAGTATTACCTCAGACTCAGGGGACACATTGAAAATTCTTCCTTTCCATGTTTTTTTTTTCTGATCATTTCGTGTTGAAATTCATTTCGTTTCTCGTCGTTTGTCTCAGTCGTAAAGATGAAAAGTGCATTACCTTCTGTCAAACAATTTTTTTTAGCTTTATCAAACAGTATAGTTTGGCATTTTCAATGCACTTAACTCAAAGCTTTAACATGGCCTTAATATATAGAAAGGGCTTAACATGCTATAGATGCTTAGATCCCAAAAAAACAGAACAGAAATGAACACTGCAAAAGAGATCTAGAAATAAGTAAAAAAATTCTTAAATCAAGTGTATTTACCCTTAATTTGAGCAGGTAAATAAGATGATCTGCCAATGGAATCAGTATTTTTACTCTTAAAATAAGATAATTAGATAATACGCACTGCTTTTTTCTTATTTTAAAAGTAAATTATCTTGTTCCGTTGGCAAAGTGTCTCACTTACCTCCTCAATTCAAGAAACAATGCACTTATTTTAAGATAAAATGACTTATTGAGATTTCTGTTTTTTGCAGTGCATCCAAAGAAATACTAGAAACTATAAGGTAATCAAAATATAACACATGTCCTTTTCCAGGATGTGTTTGCCAAAATATTTTTTTTTTTTTTTTTTTACCAGAGATGTAAATGTTGGTTTCTCTGTGTAATTGTTAATAGTGCTTTATTCTGGTGAAAGCTTTAGCACAAGGCCTGTGCTCCATTTGCCTTCTAGACCATTGCTAAATGCAGCGGTGATGCCGATGCTATTATCCAAAGAGTTGCTCTGCTTCCTCAGACGGGTTCAGCTTGTTTTATACAGTTGATACAGTGAATTAAACACACAAAGACCAAAGATCCAGTGTGTCCTGCCAGTTATGGAGGATAAAAAGTGCCAAAATTAAATAAATAAATACAGCATTAAATAAATAATTAAATGTGTCAATAATTAATTAAATGTGGAATCAAATAAATAAATGTGTCATTCATTAATTAAAACCACGTCACTAATATAAAGTGCCACAATTAAATAAATAAATACAGCGATAAACAATTAATTAAATGTGTAATTCATTAAATAAATAAGGAATTAAATATATAAATGTGTCATTAATCTAATAAAATACTTCTTTATTTTATTAAAAAAATATACATAATTATTTCAGTGTACATTTATTATTTCATGGTCCTGTGTCGCCGTGCATCGAAACCATTAAAAGAATCTGTCAAACTCACCCATCAAAGTTAGGGGGCGGGGTTAACACGAATCGAGTCGCCACCTGTATCAGAGTATGTTCACAACCTGTGGATCACAGTCTCTGTAATCGATTTGCTTCGCCTTAATGTGCAGGGTGACCAATCAGGTGTTAGATAACCGCCCCCTAACTTTGATGGGTGAGTTTGACAGATTCTTTTAATGGTTTCGATGCACTGCGACACAGGACCATGAAATAATAAATGTACACTGAAATAATTATATATATTTTTTTAATAAAATGAAGACGTATTTTATTAAATTAATGACACATTTATACATTTAATTCCTTATTTATTTAATGAATTACACATTTAATTAATTGTTTATCGCTGTATTTATTTATTTAATTGTGGCACTTTATATTGGTGACGTGGTTTTAATTAATGAATGACACATTTATTTATTTAATTCCACTGTTAAATAATTATTGACACATTTAATTATTTATTTAACGCTGTATTTATTTACTTAATTTTGGCACTTTTTATCCTCCATAGCCAGTGACGAATGATTGCTCTTCTTCTAATCATTCGTCGGCCTTCATTAGCTTTGTTTGAAGGATGAAACCTCTGCTTGGATCCTTTGTCTTTCCTGTCCAGGTGCGACAGTAAAGGGATTCTGACTATCATATTGAAAACCCTCTGTGTGAAGAGCAACATAATCAGATTTTTTCTATCTTTGTAATACAAATATTCCTCGCCAAAGGATCTTAAAAGTCTCTGTTAATTTAGTTTTCATTGACCTTGTATACAGCATTTGTATTCAGAGATTATATGATTTCCTCTGAGTTTGGTTTCTAGAAGGCCTTTTTTTTGTCACACTAATTTGTTTAAAGCTAAAGATATCAGAAAATGCTTTGATGTCTTTTAAACTGCCTTGAATTTTAACCTGAATGATTCTGATTTAGTTTATTTTTCTTTAGCACAATGTTGTGAACCAAAAACTTTTATTGTGACACTTTTTTTCCGAACGTTTTCTTTCAGTTTTAGGTATGGCGGCGTGAAGGCCGCTATAAAACTGAAAGCTAAAAATGAAGCCGACAGGTTTTGAATTTAGACGTAGAATGTAGCTTTAACTGTTATTTAAGTTTTCTGATGTTTGTTTTTGTATTTTTGAGTACCAGAAAACATCTTCTAAACCAAAGTGAGCAACGAGATTCTATATTTTATTGTGTTGAACTGTTGCAACGAGCTTTTTTTGATACTCAAGCTTATAAAGATTAGATAATAAAAATGTTCTTGAGAAAAAATGTATTTGTGTTTTCTTTTTTTGGGGGGTGTGTGTGAAAGGAAACTTAAAAGTGTGACCCAAATGACTACAGTTGGTTTAATGATAATTGAACTTTATTGATCTCACATAGGAGAAATGTAACTCTCCATTTAAAGGAATAGTACACCCAAAACATGATTAGCCTTCATTTTCTACTCACCCCCATGCTGAACAACACTCTGGAGTACTTTTTTGATATCTCAAATGCATCTGGAGATCTGGGAGGCTTCTTGCTGTCTGCTGACATTCAAATAATGGAGGTCTATGGCGCCCGAGGCAGAAAGGTCCATAAAAGTCCACAAAAACGTGTCAATATTCCTCCATACTGCTCGTCCAATGTATTCCAAGTGTCCTGAGTGGGTAGCATCCAGAATTTACTCGAAACGAAGTCATTTAGAATGTTTTTAGAGCATAAACAGTAGTGTATAGGATTTCCTGAAAGCGCGTTCACGAGTCTACGGAAACCGCGGCAGACCAAACCAGACGAAAGTGCGCATTCAGCGTCTGCTCTGCCGATAATGCAAGCGTAGAAGAAGAAATGTGCTGTTTACCTGTGCAAAGAAAGAAACAACGAAAGAAAAATGTCTGAGGACTTCAGTGTTGAGGAAGAGCATGAGTTCTTTGCCGAGCTGAATGCGCACTTTCATCTGGTTTGGTCTGCCGCGGTTTCCGTAGACTCGTGAACGCGCTTTTAGGAAATCCTATACACTACTGTTTATGCTCTAAAAACATTCTAAATGACTTCGTTTCGAGTAAATTCTGGACGCTACCCACTCAGGACACTTGGAATACATTGGACGAGCAGTATGGAGGAATATTGACACGTTTTTTGTGGACTTTTATGGACCTTTCTGCCTCGGGCGCCATAGACCTCCATTATTTGAATGTCAGCAGACAGCAAGAAGCCTCCCAGATCTCCAGATGCATTTGAGATATCAAAAAAGTACTCCAGAGTGTTGTTCAGCATGGGGGTGAGTAGAAAATGAAGGCTAATCATGTTTTGGGTGTACTATTCCTTTAACCCCTCCCCTTGGGTAGCAGTGGGCAACCATTGTGTGGCGCCTGGGGAGCAGTGTGGGGTTAATGTTTTGCTCAGAGACCCAGAGTGGAGGCTGTGGGGATCCAACCAGGGACTTTTAACCTTCTCAGAAGCTCCAAAAAGTTAAAGTTAAAAAAACAATCCAATGGACTTTTTTTCCCAAGATTGAATAAGATAATCCTTTATTTGTCCCACAATGGGGGAAATTGCAGAGTTGCATCACAGTGAACAGTACATTAGGAAAAAAAGAAAGAATACAAAATATAAAAAATGTTAAAAATATATAGAAAATATATATTGAGTATATACAGACAAGGCCATCACACTTGGTGTGAACAGTTAAATGGCTCAGGCTAAGGTTACAAACACTGGTACAGAGTGACAACAGTAAAGTTCTGTGCAAATGATTGATTGTATAAATTATTGCAGAGTTAAATAAATATGAGTGAAGTAGAATAATAGATAGATATGCAATAATAACAGGTAAAGTGACGGTGGACATATGGTTGATACGGAGCTAGCATTGTTGGTTGTACAGTCTGACAGCAGCAGGAAGAAAGGATCTGCGGAATCTCTCCTTTATACAGCGAGGGTGTTTCAGTCTTTCACTGTAGCTGCTCTCCAGAGCAGAGAGAGTGTCCTTCAGGGGGTGGTCCTCATGGTCCAGCATAGACATGAGTTTGGACAGGGCCCTCCTGTCCCCCACCTGCTGTACAGAATCCAGAGGACAGCCCAGGACTGAGCTGGAGCTCTTGATGATCTTGTCCAGTCTTTTCCTGTCCCTCTCAGTGATGCTGTTGCCCCAGCAGGCCACACTGTAAAGGATGGCTGATGCCACCACAGACTCGTAGAAGGTCTTCAGGAAGACGTTTCTCTTCCCATCCAGGAAGCTTTTTCAATTCAGAATGTCAGAAATAGCGTTGAATTCCAGGCTTTTATACAGTAGCCCAACAAAAGCCTTGTAATGGCTTGGAAAACATTAAGGCTGGAAAACCAGTTCCACCCCTTAATAATTGGAGGTGCTGAGGTCGTTCTTGGCCTGCAATATCCGATACATTCCTCTGAAAAAAGGCTGCCATTCCTCTGAATTGAAAAAGCTACCTGGGAATGAAAGGTCTTCAAACTTGGAAAACAAACTCCGGTGGATTGTTTTTTTTTTTTTACTTAATTTTTTTGGAATGTCTATGACCTGGATGATTGAGACCAGCATGCTTCTGAGAAGCACAAGCACAGCTTTAACCACGAGGCCAACATTCCCCCAAAAGTAACCGTTTGGAATAGCCCTATGAGGTGCAACAGTGGAGTACAACCTCTAAATATGCTGCACTGGCTGGGAATTGAACCTGAGTCCCCCCACATGACACCTTTAAGTTCTCCAAGCTGCTGCTCTCATCGCTGGTGTGGTCTTTAAAAGATCAAAAACGCTTCTCACATTTAAACTGCATTTTATTGTTTTTCTCAAATATATGAGTTTATTGATGTTTTTGCAATAGATAATTGTGTTTGCTGCTGATCTGAGGAAACAATTATAGAACAGTGGTAATAAAGTGTGGAGCATTTAGAAATATTCTCTGTTTATACTGATCTATAATACAGGTGTTTGTTTCTTTAATAGTAATAATTTGTTAAAACTGAACTGAATAGTTGGCTGCAAAAGAAAATAAAAGCACGAACATAGAATGAAACCAGTTGACAAACAGCAAAAGTAGATAAATGTCTGCATTTACTGCAGGGCACCACTTAAAGGCAGAATAATATTTAAACACGTGTCCATTTATCATATAGACATTTTAATGTTTGGAGAATTTAGAATATATATTTCTTATCTTATGGTTTCATTAATAAAGCGTGTTTGTTTTCTATGACGTACGCGTATTTTTTTACTTTGCATTGAACATGAGGTTTCAAATTTACGGAAGAGGATTAGGGCAAGTGGAAAAAAAAAAAAAGTTTACTGATTTTTTTATTTTATTTCAGTTTAGTATGGGGAAAAAGTCAGAATTCTGAGATTAAAGTCAGAATTCTGAGAAAAAAGTCAGAATTCTGAGATTAAAGTCAGAATTCTGACTTTTTCCCATGTTAAACTGAAATAAAATTTAAAAATCAGTTAACTTTTTTTTTTTCAGTGGCCCTAATCCTCTTCCGTACAAATTAAATGGTTTTGTTACCCTAAATATTTACTTTAAACTCCCTTTAATTTCAGTTTTTACCTATAATCATATTAATTTAATCTAAAATAATCTAAAGAAAATCCCTTTGTTTAAATCCCGTGTGTGTTTTTTTTATGTTTTTGACGTTCCAAAAACCATGTGGCTCCAGCAGGGGGCAGCAGAGTTTCCATAGAGGCCGTGGCTGCCGTAGTTCCGGAACATGAGGAAGAAGGAAGCTCCGCTTCGGTCTTGTTTTGTTTAGCTGCGACACGCAGCTCATCCGGTGCCGAAATGCGCATCGAAAAGTGTTATTTCTGTTCGGGTCCAGTTTATCCCGGACACGGAGTCATGTTTGTAAGGAACGACTGCAAGGTATGGTTCTATTTTTATGTCGTAACCGGATGTTTAATTGTTTAAAAGTTGATATTTTGATCAGGCCAGTTAGCTGCCCTGAAAGCGTGCCTGAATTCCTCACGTGGAAACCAAACTAGTAAAACTGTTGACAGTTTTTATAAATATTAAAAGCTGTCTTGAAAATAAAGAAAAAAATAACTTAATACCGGTTTTTAATGTGAGATCTGTCGTTTGTATGTGAATTATATGAGGTAAATGTAATAGTGGCTGAGCTCAGCGCTGGGCCTTGCTTTTATTGCTGTGGTGTAAGCGCGCCCTCTTGTGTTGAAAGCAGAAATAAACCGGATGCTTGCAGCTGAACTTCATGAAATTAAACGTTTCTATATTTTCAAGGTCCTTTCTATCTATTATGAACTTTTTTTCTTTTTTAAGTAAGTTTCTTTAAATTATGTTTGCTCAAAAAAAAAGCCTCCTAGCGTTTATTATTCATTAGGTTAAGTTATAACTGATATTTACAGTAACTTTGTTATAAATTTTGATGTTTTTTATTAGATGGGTTTTAACTGCACTAGAACAAATAATAAAATCACATCGATGCTTCTGGAAATGATGCAATAAGTTAAATTATGTCCCTTTATAAATGTAATTATGGCTGAAACAATCGGATTAATCAGCTATTGAAATAATTGTCGACTAATTTAGTCGATTAATTGTTAACTGAAGTATAGAGACTCTAAACCATGCCTTTAGCTGACCCACTTAGAAGAGTAATTATATCAAGATTGTAAAAAAATATTAAGATTTTGCATTTAAGATATAAAAAAAATGTTTTCATCTGCTCTAAATCTGCTCTATCCAGGAATCCTCAGGTGGGAACTTTTTGCTTTCACCAGCTTTTATTTAATAAAATATCATCTTTAAAAACATCTTTTGATAAATTATTATTAATCGGGAAAAATAAATAACTGATTAATCATTTTGCAAAATAAGCTTTAGTTGCAGCCCTAAATGTAATAATTGTTTTAAAAATGTAATAAAACTAATTTACATTAATTTGTCCCTTAGATTTATACTTTATTAAAGCAGCTTTCTTTGATGTCATAATTCGCTCTTAAGGATGTCCAGGTTGCATTTTTCATATTTACCCCCCTCAGATTTCTCCAGATCAGCTGCTGTATATCAGAATGTATCAAAATACAATTTATTAAAAAACAGATTTAATAATAAACGTTTTTTTAAGTGCTTAATTAAAAAAACAAAACAAAAAAAACAAGACATAAAACTTCATAAAATAAGAAAGAGGCAATGAATAAAGTATGTAAACTCAGAACAGGCCAAACGACATAGAAAAGACGTTTTAAAAAAGGAGTGACATTTTCTTTGTCATGTTTAAAAGTGACATTAAAAAAATGTGTGGATTCTGTCTGGTTTCATTTAATCTGGCAAGACTCAAATAAAAATTTCTCTTGACTCTATTTTATGTTGCATAAATCACACAAGCACTGTTGGTTTTTAAACTTTAAGATCCAATAAACAGAAAGCTTTTCTCACCAATTGGTTCTGAATAAAGCTTAGTGTTTGATTAAAAAGGGCATTCAGTATTTCTTTATTCAGAAACATTCATTTTAACGAGGGCTGAATGATTTTGCCAAAAATCTTAATTGCGATTTTATTTCAACTGTATTCTCTCTGTTTTGGTATTATCAGTTTTCTAGGTTATTAAATAGAAAATCCCTTTATTGATGCGACAATGGGGAAATTCTTGTGTTTAGGGCAGCAAAAAGATAATAAAGAATGTCATAAATGTGGACCTTAACATAATAGTGAAGAGTTAAAAGATAAACAATGAAATACTGTACTTTAAACAATATAAAACTGTGCACCTGGAGAATAAATAACCAATATCCAGCAATGGACATTTTTACAGTAATGGACATTTGAAAATAGCAGCAACATCAGAGATGTGCAGAATGACAGCAGCAGGTTATTTAACTGACTAAGGTAGAAACTGTGCAAAATCAGCATGAATGGAAGAACTGATTGAGGTTGTTGGGAACAGTGGTGGTTCTAGAATCTTCCAGCTGCTGGGAGGAAGGATCTGTGATAACGCTCCCTGGTGCATTAGTACCCCATTTACACTACCCTTGAAAAACTGTGCCGAGACCGGTCCGAGCTCAGTAACTGAGATAACTTATGGTGTGTAAATGGAAATCAAACTGAACCGAACCGAGCTAGACAAAACCGGACCGCGCTAACTGCAGACCAGTTCTAGAGGTGGGCTCGGTTCGGTTTTTCTAGGGCTTGGTTCTCTGATAACAAGAGCGCATGAGCAGAACGCGTCATCTCCGTCTGGCTGCACATCACGATTCACACTTAATTGCAGTCGTTGGCGGTAATGCCCCTCTGGAAGTTGCTTGCCAACTAGGGGTGTAAATCACATCCATCATGGCGATTCGATTCAGTATCGATTTCCTGACCCAACGATTCGATTATTTTCGTTACTCAAGAATACACCACGATACTTTTCGATTAATCGGTTAAATTTTTTTTTTTTTACACCTTACAGGCTAGACAATGTTTCAAATTTGAACCAAATCTATGAAAGCTGTAATATCTTGATGCATTTTCTTTTTTTTTTTTAGAAACAACAGCAAATAACAGAAATAGAAATGTTTTACTCCACCTATTCCTATTAAAACCTCATTCACTGAAAAATAATGATACCCCTGCATAATAGATTCTGAAAGGCCTTGCATAAAAAAATACTGCACAAAATCAGTGCAATGCAATACCTCGGCCCCAGACGTCCCGCCCCCTCCACAGACGCTCCGCTGCTCCTCTCCCGAATTGTAGCTGACCGCAGACAGTGCTGCAGACAGGAGGCCGGCTTGTTTTGTTTTTATGACCAAAATTGCGGAAAACGACTCGTTAAGTTTGACCCGCTAGAAGAGCGGGGTGCGCGAGAACGCTGGGACCCTTTTTCCACCTGGATCTCCGCTCTTTTTGGCCCTCATGTCCCTCCGTCGTCGGATCAATTCAATATTGAGCATGATTTAAAAATGTCTGTGTCAAGCTCACTGCTGCTGGAGTATAACCAGGAAGCGAGGTAGAAGGGCAAAATAGATTTAGCGCCACTGCAGCACGGGAGAGAGAATTACGTTCAGGAGCAAATGGATTAAAATAGAATGAATCGATTATCTTGCGGACGTGTCGATGCATCGGATCGTCGGCTGTTGGATTGATGCATCAATACAAGACGATTATTATTTACACCCCTATTGCCAACCAACACAAAACAGAAGAAGAACTATAAACAACTATAAACATCCACGAAAGGTTGCCGTCTTCGCCTGACGCTCCGCAAACACCGAAGTACAGCAATAATAATCAAGCCTAACTTTCTGAATGTGACGGGCGCCGCCATTTTGATTTGCTTGATTCCCTCCTTCTTCGTCTTCTTCTTCTTGTGTTTTATGGCGGTTGGCAAACAACTTTTGGTGCATTACCGCCACCAACTGCTTGATTTCCTCCTTCAATACTGGCAGTAATACGGCAGATTGTCACTAGGAGGCGAGGAACCGAGATAGCGTGATGTGTAACGGTCATCAGAACCAAGCTGGGCCTGGATCGGTTTTTCAAGGGTAGTGTAAATGGGGTATTTGGGTGCAGCAGTCTGTCACTGAAGGAGCTCTCCAGTTCAGCACCAGCTTTAAATGTTCATTTAGTGAGGATTCGTCTGTTTCCCACCTCCTGAGTCCAGAGGGCATCCAATCAGAGCTGGCCTTTCTGATCAGCTGATCCAGCCGCTTCCTCTCAGCTACAGATTAGCCACTGCTCCAACAGAACGCTGCATAGAAGATGGCTGATGCCACAACAGTCATAGAAAGTCTTTAGGAGCGCCCCCTGCAGCCAGAAAGACCTCAGTCTCCTCAGCAGGAAGAGTCTGCTCTGACCTTTATTATTATATTTCAGTGCAGTTACAGCGATCTGTGTTCAGACCTAAAGCTACGGTTTCCTTCCTAAAGGAGTTATTTGCACTAAATGTCATCGGCGGACGTCCACAGCACAGACTTAGCTGACAAAGTCACAGAGCAGCAGCAGAAATATGTTAGACATCTTTTAGTCTGAACCTCCACACTAAGCCAGCAAGGCATCCGAAAGGATCTGTAGGTGGAGCTAAGTTTCTAAGTAAATCATCATCAGTTTATTCATGATCATCTCTGTTTCTACTAAATTAGATGTTCAGATTCTGCAAATCAAAATGCCATAAGAACTTCAAGAAGAAGCGTAACCCGAGGAAGACCAGGTGGACCAAAGCTTTCAGAAAGGCTGCTGGAAAAGAGTTGACTGTGGTGAGCTTCATGTCCCCGTTTGGAGAATTTCTATTTATTCTATTATTAATATATCCGGTAATCGACTTCTCCTTTAACCTGTTTTTATTCATTTAGGATAACTCTTTGGAGTTCGAGAAACGACGAAATATTCCAGTGAAATATAAGAGAGAGCTTTGGGACAAGACAGGTATTTATTATTTATTTATTTCTGTAATTAATTCAGATCATAAAGTTTCTGTCTCACGTGTTGTGAGCACAAAGAAGTACACTGAAATACGGCGAGTACATAGAGAAATTTACAGCATGCTCAAAATCTCCCGCCGTCCATGGTCCATCAGTTCCAGGTCAGTTATCTGATGAACATCCGTTCAGTGTCAGTTCCTCATCAGTCGTGGCGTCTAGCTCATCCTAAACCTCCGTGTAACTTATCCAGAACTTCTCTCCAAGCATATCAAGGTATCTGACATGTTCCAGACGAGCGCTGAACGTGTTTCTAACTTCCAGTTACTGTATAATGGCGTATTGGCAGCGTTTTGGTATAAAGGGGGTTCACAGGAGGAGACCACAGGTATAACTTTCTGGAAGACTGGTGTGGACGTGTTCCCACCATTTATCTCTGCTTTTTTCACCCTTTCTGCTCGTATTTACTTCAGCCAAAGGTAACAGGTTGGGTGCAGCTAACTATATTTAGAGCCTTTTGAGTCCGTGCTTCTTTTTTTTTCTTCTCTCTCCTGCTGCTCCGGTGTCCCGCCTCTCGGTGTGACATCATCCAGGGTTCCTGCGGGTCCTTAAAAAGTCTTAAAAGGCATTGAATTCTTTAAAATAAAACTAAGGTCTTAATTGGTATTAAAATGTCTTAAATCAGTCTTTCCTAGGTCTTAATTTTTAAAACATCATAAATAGGATTATTTTTATTACGATTTATATTTGTAATCTAAGTAAAACATTAAAATTGACAATTCTTTTTTTTTATAAAAAAAAAAAAATAACAACTCGCCATTATTGGTTGCGTCCCGATAGCGGAACCAATAAAGCATTGTTGAGGCCGGGACATTTGGGAGACGCACCATTAACTTTTTGTCTGGAAAATATGAGCAAGTGTAAATGTAACCTAAATTGTCTCCAGCCAAGAGTTTCCTCCATGGCTAAAACCAGGGAACATCCATGAGGCTCAGTGGATTTTGTGCAAGAAGTCATTCAAGCTTAGAACGATGGGAATTAAGTCAGTGGAGTCGCACATGCGAAGCACGAAACACAAAGCGTCAAAATGGAGTTAGAGAGAAACAGCCGGTATTTCTCAGTTTAGTTCCACCCTTGTCTCTGCAACGCCTCCACTTATCACCAAATCAAACATACTAAGAAAACCATAGAAAGAAAAATAGCTGCTAAAAAGACTTAGCACTGGTTATGTTGGGGCTTTAAAACTGATTTGTTTTGTTCCCTGCTAAAACAAAGTTTGTGAATTCAGTTAAATAATTGTTCAAATATATCTGTCATTTGTGTGTTTTTAGCTTTCTTCCTGTATGGGAAGCTTTTCAACATTTGAAACATTAGTGCAGTGGTTTGTGTTAAAATAAACCTTTGGGTTAAGTTGGAGCAAGCAGGTTTTTCTTGTGTTTCTTGTGAATTTGGTCTTAAATTTTTATTTCAAGTGGCATTAAAGTCTTAAAAAGTCTTGAATTTAACTCACCTTATGCTGATCCTACATGCTGTCATCAGATCTGTTGCTTTGAGACGTCTGAATTGCGGTCACATTTCACTGCGTACAAATAACTACATGGAGGAGGAGAGAAACAGCAGCATGTTGTTTTGTTCTTTACTAGTTAAAAACAAGTTGGCTTCTCAGAGGACCATGACTCCCAGTTACACTTAAAATTTATTAACAATTTAGTGCCCCCTTGTGGCTCCCTGGAGCTTTTTCTAAGATGTATGAAAATCAAGTTTTTTTCATTTTAATTTGGTGTGCAGGAGGCCAATCAAAAATTTATTATGTTTTCCAATGCTGTAAACATTTGTATAATAAATAAATTTAAACAATAATTTGCGTTATAGCCATAGAGATCGTGGGCATAACTTGGAACCAGCGCGGCGCGGTGCCAGGCTAACAAAGCGGTGGGTCTGTCTCAGGCTGTGGATCCCAGAGGGGAAAAAAGGAAGATAGTGGATGACTTTATCAATGTGGAAGGATTGTCTGAATTTGTGCTTTGTAATGAGAAGTTGTCAAAAAATAAAAATAAAAGTCATTTCCAGGAAAGGCTAAATCTGCAGCCAACCACCAAGTTAGGAGGGAGAGAAAAAGTGTGATTGCAGAACTTCTGGATAAATTAGAGGAGAGCAAAGATAGATTTAAGAAGTAGATTGCATCTCCAAACTCCACTATTGCTGCTAGTTTGGCTGCAAGGATGGAAAACTGTCCACAGGTCCAACAGGTGGCGCTCTGATGCAGGGATCAGAACTTTCTTCCATTTTTTTCCCAAATCCTAAAAATCTAAATCGCACCGAGGAACGCTGGTGACGAAGGATGTGGGATTTCATGGTTAGAGAGCTCTGCTCTGATGATGTCACTTCCTGCTTGGTTCCTCGTGACTCAATCAGCTCCTCCCAACAGAAACACGTCCACCATAGAGAGATTCCTTTATCCTGTTTCTATAATTTTATCAATGTGACAAAACCGCACAGTGAAGCGGCGTGCAACGTGCAGCTATGTGACATTTTTCTCCAGGATAAACATTTAATCATTAATGCTTATTATATATTTAAGCCCAATTAGTCCGTGTTTCCATACGAGGCTGATAGAAGACGTAGATTTTTGCGGCTCCAGGCAGATTTATTTTTCTAATATGGTTCTTTAAACAGTTTGGATTGCCGACCCCTGAGTTCGGCTGTCGTTGGACATAAGTTCTGGACTCGTTATAAATAGTCTGAATACGCAAAAGTATGTCTGCGTTTTAGGAGATTCTGGGACGTCGGGAATACGCCGGCGGAATCAGCAGTGTGACATCGGCCCGACACTTTGAAAGATGTAGATTTAATGATTATTTTGATAGCAGGATAATAATGATTTGATGTTTTGCTACTTTTTTCAGTGGAGGCAATGAAAAAGGTTGAGGAAATAAAAGTGAAACGACAGGCAAGATTCATCATGAACAGGTAAGAGGTTGATTTTCATTTAGTTTCCTTATTGTAGCTGTTATTTATAAATATTTGCTTTAACATAGATTATTGTTGTTTCCTTCCTGCAGATTAAAGAAAGCCAAACAGCTGGAGAAGGAAGAAGCCATCAACGAAGTGAAGAAGAACATTTGCCTCATCAAAGCTCCACATGCAGGTAAAGCTGCAGCTTCTGTGGATTTAACTGGAAGACAGGATGCTGCATATTTAAAAACCAAACTGAATCTGTTCTCATTTTTATTATTTATTTGCAGGCAAAGCAAAACAGTTGGAAGACAAAATGGTGCAGAGGTTACAAGAAGATGTGGAAATGGGGGAAGAAGATAATTAACTTAAAGCTCTGCTGTTGTTTTGTTTCCTATGCCTGATCCTGGCTTCTGATTGGTCTTTTTTAGGGCACCATCATCACCAATAAAGCTTCTAGTTCCTTCTTTTTTAACAAAATGGTCATCATTTGACTTTGTAGAATTGTTTCGGTTGTAAACATGTCTCACGTCGGTGGTAAAATCTACCAACAATAAATCCAAATATCCGGTTCTCTTGATTGTGTTAATTTTCTAAGTGTTAGTAAAGTAGATTAGTGCAAGTTTAAGGAATTTGATGAGAAATCTAAACCTTTGTGTTGACATCAAGTACAAAATGTTCTTCATATCGTTGTTTCTTCACTCCGAAAGGACGGAGGAACGTTCGCTGGAAGCAGGTCACTGCAGGAAACCCTGAATAAAAACAATAAAAGTTGTCTGGGCTGCAAGTCCTAGATTAAATGTAAATAAAAATAGACATTTAGCTGAAGATGCCACTTTTAAAGCATCCTTACTATTTCAGTTAATCTGTAAAGACAGATTGATGTTAATTGATCATTTCTATCATCACTACATAAAGGCTGCATCGAGCTGTGCTGTAAAAAGCTTTTTTTTTTTCTCCAAAGTTGCAGTTGAATACAGAAAAGTCGGACAATTAGCAATTTTCCCCCAAAAAAAACAAAAATCCATTGGACTTTGTTTCCAAGTTTTAAGAAGCTTTTTCAATTCAAAATGTCAGGAATAGCGTCGAGTTCTAAGTTTCCTTCACGCTCCTCTCAAACCACCTTTTTCATCTTTGGTGTGCTGGTCTGAGCGGAGTGGTGTCTGCAGCTCAATATAGTGAGGAATGCTCTGATCTTTACTTTGGAGAAACCAAACAACCTCTCCACAGATGCATGGCCCAACACAGAAGAGCGCCCTCCTCTGGACAGACTCTGCGGTACATCTACATCTTATAGACAAAGGACATTTTTGGAGGACCAAAATGTTCACATTTTGGACAAAGAAGACAAGATGTTTGAGAGGGGCGTGAAGGAAGCTTCTATGTTAAGAAAGAAAAACCAACCTTAAACCTACAAAGCAGCGATAGATTTGATTCCTTCCCGCTATCATCGCACCCCTAACCCCTTTACAGGGAAACAAAAGACCTCACCTGTTCCTCCAGACCAACTATTCCCTTTAACGACCCCCCCTTTCAGAGACATAGACAGGTATTGGGCATTGCAGGCTAACAAAGAAGCCCATTCCAAAGGGGGGGACCCGTTCATCCATTTCTATTTGCATGTTTTCTAAACTTAAACCAGGCTTTGTTGGGCTGCTGGATAAAACCTGGAACTAAACGCTATTTCTGACATTTTGAATTGAAAAAGCTTCCTGGATGGAAGAGAAACGTCTTCAAACTTGAAAACAAAGTCCAGAGGATTGTTTTTAATTTTAATTTTTTTGGAATGATTCTGACCTGGATGACTGAGAATCTTCAACAATTAGCACATTGCTAATGCATGCATCAGTTCAATATAACATGCAACTGTCATTCTTAAGCACATTTCAATATCTTGTCTGTGAAGGCCCCGTTTTTCACAGGATGGACACGCGTGTCCGTTTGTGCACACGTGTGTGAATGAACACCATCAGGGTTTTGGTGGGTCTAAAATTGACATTGGAATATCTTTTTTCTTTAATGGCATAATTAGTTTCCTTATGCACCCAACTATCTAGAACTGTCCTACATCAATCGTAACCAATGAATTATCTCCTCAGGGGCCCCTTTTCAGCACATCTCATATATCGATCTAATCCAAGAATATCAGTTGTTTTTTTAGAAAGGTACAGAAAATATTAAAAAAAGTTACGATTCAGAAAGACTATTAACTTGTCTTATTAGGTAATTTCTTTTTTACCTTTTAGCTGTGGAAACAATGGTATCTCAAACTAGCTTGTGATATAAAACTATAATGATAATAATTAAAAACAAGAACATTCTAACAAAGGTTTCACAAATCCGAGACCTGGTTTCAATTATTCTAAAAGTAGTTTAGAATATCCTAGTCCAGGCTTGATGTGTCTAGATGTTGTAGTTTTTCAATTATAGTAGATTAAAAATGCTAAAGGTGGGGAAAAGTTAAGTGGAATCACCCTTTATTCATTGATTATTCAAATCACTCTTTACTCCATCCAGACAGTGTCTTGCCCACGACCAAAATCTAATAAATTAGCAAAGATTCCCAAAGGAGTAAATCATGATAATCTAATTAAAATCAAAATAACTCCAATTGGGGAAAAAGTTAAAACAATTAAATGCGGTCTGTTTAACATAAGATCGCTTTCCTCTAAAAGTCTACTAGTTAATGACTTGATTTGTGATAATCACATTGACTTGTTTTGCCTTACAGAAACCTGGCTGCAGCAAGAGGATTATGTGAGCATAAATGAGGCAACTCCTTCAAGCTATTTAAATTTTCACATCCCCAGAAGTTCTGGGCGAGGAGGAGGAGTAGCAACAATCTTCCAGTCTGACTTACTGATTACTCCCAAAACAATTAATACCTACAACTCTTTTGAACATTTAACCCTTAATTTCCCTGATCCAAATTTCAAGGCAAGAAAACCTCTTCTTTTTGTAACTTTGTATCGTCCACCAGGTCCTTACTCTGAATTTTTAGATGAGTTTTCAGGGTTCCTTTCTCATTTGGTATTAAATACTGACAGGGTCATCATAGTGGGAGATTTTAACATCCATGCTGACATTGAAGGCGATAGCTTAAGAGCAGCCTTTAATGCTATCTTAGACACTATTGGCTTTGTTCAGAGTGTGAGTGGTCCCACGCATTATCATCTTCATACTTTGGATCTTGTGCTGACATACGGCATAGAATGTGAAGAAATAACAGTATTTCCTCACAACCCTGTCCTCTATGACCACTTTCTAATAACCTTCAGGATTACTTTAACAGAGTTCTCCTCCCCCAAAAGAAGGTTCAATTTTAGTAGATCTTTATCAGATAGTGCAGTTATAAATTTTAAAGAATCTGCTTCACTTTCTCTCTCCTCTGTGTCGCTGAGCAGTGCTGCAGAGTGCAAAAGCTTAGCTTATTCCCCTTCACAGGTTGATGATTTTGTTGATGGGGTTGCTAGTTCTCTGTGTATTGCCTTAGACAACGCAGCTCCTTTGAAAATGAAAACCGTTAAAAATAGAAAGCTTGCTCCTTGGTTTAATGCAGAGCTGCGTACTTTGAAGCAAAAAGCTAGGAAACTGGAGAGAAAATATCGCTCCACAGGCCTGCGGGAGTCCTTCCTAGTCTGGAAAAATGGTTTACTGCTGTATAGGAGGACCCTTTGTAAAGCAAGAGCAGCATACTTCTCCTCATTAATAGAGGAGAATAAGAATAATCCTAGATTTCTTTTTAATACAGTTGCCAAACTCACCCAGAGCCATAGCTCTGTTGAACCGTCCATTCCACCTGCTCTTAGCAGCAATGATTTTATGGGATTCTTTATAAATAAGATTGATCTTATTAAAAATAAGATCATAAGCACTCCTCTATCCGCGGTTGTACCTGAGGTAGTCATGGAATCTGAACCGGGTTTAGACTGCTTTGATCCAGTTGAACTTTCTGAATTAGCAAAATTATGGTCTTCATCTAAGCCTTCAACTTGTATGTTAGATCCAGTTCCAACCAGGTTATTTAAGGAGGTATTCCCTTTGATCTCCTCCTCCATTTTAGATGTGATTAATCTATCTCTGTTACAGGGATATGTACCTAAAGCTTTTAAGGTTGCTGTAATTAAACCTCTGCTTAAGAAACCGTCTCATGACCCAGATGACTTGGTCAATTATAGACCTATATCCAATCTTCCTTTCTTATCCAAAATTCTTGAGAAAGTAGTTGCCAAACAAGTGTGCGGTCACTTACACCATAATGAACTTTTTGAAGAGTTTCAGTCTGGCTTTAGAGCTCATCATAGCACTGAAACAGCTCTGGTGAAAGTCACTAATAATATTCTGATGACCTCAGATAATGGACTTCTATCTGTGCTCGTCCTGTTGGATCTTAGTGCTGCATTTGATACAGTTGACCATAATATTCTTTTAGAAAGACTTGAATATTTTGTTGGAATTAAAGGAACAGCACTAGACTGGTTTAAATCTTATCTATCTGATCGAATTCAGTTTGTTCATGTTAATGATAGATCTTCAACACGCTCAAAGGTTACCTGTGGAGTACCACAGGGATCAGTGCTAGGACCAATTCTCTTTACTTTATACATGCTCCCAATTGGTAGAATTATTAGACAGCATGGGATTAATTTCCACTGTTATGCTGATGATAACCAGCTATATCTGTCTATAAATCCAGATGAAGCTAACCCATTACATAGATTACAGGCATGTCTTGAAGACAGCAGCACAGTGTTGATAGAAGCAGCACAGCTGATGTTTCTTTCCAGGATGACGTCACAGCCAAACAGGAACAGACGAGGCAAAGCTACTCTGAGGAAAAGCAGAGAGAGCAGAACGTTAGAGATTGAACTAACAGATTCTGCAGAGTGGGAGAATAGAGATAGAATGAAGCAGAATGATGAAAAAGGGGTCCCTATGTCCTCCAGCAGTCTAAGCCTATAGCAGCAGAACTATAGAGATAGCTCAGGATAACCTGAGCCACTCTAACTAGAAGCTTTATCATAAAAGGAAAGTTTTAAGCCTAGCCTTAAAAGTAGACAGGGTGTCTGCCTCACGGACTAAAACTGGTATTAAACTCTAGTTTGTGACTTTATGGCTTCTTGCAATTTATTAACATATTGTAGCTGGCGTTAAGAGTGTATATTGTTACTACTAGCAGTGTTTTTAGGTGGCGCCGGGGATAAAAAGGAGCTAATCCTGCATCTCTGGGATCGATTAATCGGCCTGTTGCTAACAGCACCGTCCTCCTGGCGCTGCTTCCTGTCATCTTCTAGAACATTAACTGCTCGGGCGGACAGACGCGGTTTGGAGCCCAGATCCTCGCCTTTACATCCAGGAAATGTCTGAGCAGGAGGAAGGAATGGCGACTGTGGAGGAACAGCAGGTAAACGACACAATAAACCGCACTTTAAATGCGATAAGCGACGGTTAAACGCAGACGGTGGCAAACAAACACCGAGCTAGTTAGCCACTAGTTAGCAACTAGCTCATTTTCACTCATATCTCCATCGTCATTTAGTTCTAATTACTATAAAATAGTTTTTTTTCAGACAGT